GTAATTTGGTGTGTTGCCCATTTTGTTAGAAAAGTTAAATCTATTGGTGTTACTTTTTTTTCATGAAAAAATTGCAAAATGAGCTGACAAACAAGCTGATGAAAGTCGTGCCTCGATATCATGTTCCTAACCTAAAATATCGGTGAAAGAAGATTTAATAGGAAAATTCAATGGATTTTGATAGGTTGGTCAAAATTTAGTCGTTAGAACAAATTTCGGTTGTCCAGAACATTTTGCTATAAATGTGAGAGACCATCTAAATGCAGTGTTTCAACAGCGATGTATCGGAAAAGAGAACTTATTTATGGGTGCGGTTAATGGTGTGTCTCAACATACAACCAGACAAGACATGGAAAATAGGATTCGGAATGTCACTCGCAACCTACCAAGAGCAGAAATTTAAGGAGCAGTTTTTTCTACACAAGAGACACGCTCTATCCACAGCAATGGATAGAACGTGATGGATGGCAATTTGAGTATTTAAGGAGGCATTAAACAAATTGTAGAAGCCCGAACTAATTTCGTTAGGGCAATCAGTAGTAGTTGGTTTTGCAATTATTATGTGTTTTGTTAACTTTTGTCAATATGCCAAATTTTCGCTTCTAATTGGACTAAAAAAGAATAGAATGGAGGAATGCTCTCAAAAATTAGGTATAGTATCTTATAAATTAAGGCGCATAAAAAAAACTGATCGAAATCCTTTAAATGTTCTCACAAAATCTTCTTTCACCGATATTTTAGGTTAGGAACATAATATCGAGGTGTGGTTTTGTATTCTAGCTTGTTTATTCTATATTTTGCTGTTTCTTTCATGAAAAACCAAGATTGATACCAAGTTTATTAAAATCCGTGTAGCCATTTTGAAATTATTGGCATTTGTTTACAAACATTTTCGAACACCCCCACCATTTTATTTTTAAAGATAAGGCAAAAAGTGTTTTAACTATAATTTATTTCAACTTTAAAAGGTATGTATTCTTTTGTAGTGTTAATACAGTGAAATTCCGAAAAAAACAACATTTTTCAATTCAAGATGGTGTTTATGCCCCCAACCGGACATCTTAGAAACCTGAAAATAATTTCCAGGATTTTCTCTTAGCCACTTTAGTTATTAAATTTTTTACCGCAAGTCTCTACAATGAGTAGTTACCGAGATACAGTACTTTGCACGCTTATTTGGCCACCCTGTATATCATTATTAACTATAATGCCTCGGCCGTAAACGATTTCGGCACAATTGTTTAATTTTTTAATAAAATATGATTGATCCCTGTTGTGTTGATTAGATATGGAAGTAACTTTGTTTCTTAATGTCTTGTATTAAAACATGTTTCATATACAGGGTGATTTATTACCTCACCATCAAACCTTGCTCGCTTGTGGGCGAGGCGCTGTATATCTGTAAAACATTATTAACTATAATGCCTCGGCCGCAAGCGACCTCGTCACAACTAAAATGAAAAAGACGTTATAGATATGTATTGAGCTGAGGTCGCTTGCGGACGAGGCACTATATATTCTGTACAACATTATTAACTGTAATGCCTCGGCCTTAAGCGACCTCGGCACAATTGTTTAATTTTTCAATAAAATATGATTGATCCCTGTTGTGTTGATTAGATATGGAAGTAACTTTGTTTCTTAAAGTCTTGTATTAAAACTTGTTTTATATACAGGGTGATTTATTAGCCCACCATCAAACTTTGACATATGATAGCTAATCTAATTACCAAAAAAAATGTTAATGAACATATGTCCTATTTCAATTATTTACGAAATTATAACACTTTAAAGTTCTAATTTTTATACCATAATTAACTGTAAAATTTTTTTTAAACAGATAATTATTACAAATATTGTTCAAAATAGCCCCCTTCTGCTAGAATACAGGCTTCACAACGACGAATTAAAGAGTTCTTCCGCGGAATTAAGTTGTCTGGTTGATTTCTTATTTCAGTAGCAGCCATTTGTATTCTGTTTAATAAATGTTCTCGTGTGTTAATTTCCACTTGATACACAATTTGTTTCATATGACCCCATAAGTAGAAATCCAATGGATTAAGGTCGGGGGATCTAGGTGGCCAAGCAAATGGACCATCATTACCAATCCACTTTTTTGGAAAATATTGGTTTAACCACTCTTCCGCGATGAGGTGGGGCACCATCGTGCTGGTACCACATATTTTGAATTACATTAAGAGGTATATCTTCAAGTAAATGAAAAAGTGTATTGTTCAAAAAAATCTGTAATTTACAGCGTTCAAACGTCCATCAAGTACATGCAAATCTAGTAAATTGTTGTTAAATATTCCACCTCAAACGTTGTTGATGCTGAAACGTTGTTGATGCTTAAACGTTGTTGAAACGTTGTCTAATCGCATGCGGATTTTGTAATGCCCAGATATGTTCATTATGGTAATTATTTATACCATCTCGTTTCATCTTTCCAGAGAACATTTGAAATGAAGTCATTATTTTGGGCGTATTGCTGCAATAACCATTCACAAAATGCTAACAGCTTGAACATTCTGTTTACATTAGAGATGAAGGACTTCGCGGTTCAATACGCATCATGCATAATTTTGACTTACATGTTGTGTGTTATTCTTCGAGTGCTGATGGAAGAATTACACTGGTCTACAGTGGTTTTGTTGCCCTAGATATAAGATTGATTTTGGGTATATTTATGCTCACAATTCATGATGAAACATCGAAGTAAATAGAGAGGAAAATGTCGAAAACATATGTAAATAATGTATAAAACACCTTTTATGAGCTGTTCTTTTATAATTTTTCAGGGGACAATCTCTTTTTAAAGACCAGTAGTAATCTGCCATCATGTGACAATCCCATCAACTCTGATACCTTTCCTCCATCACATTTTAGATCCTGGTGGAACCGCTCTCTCTGTTCCTCACTATAATTTCCTAAATTATCCGGAAATTTATCCACATGATTGCGGAGATGGTGTAACTTGATACTCATATTTGCTCCTAGAGTCTGAAAGTTTGTCAGCATATTTTGTACAATTTCTTCATAATTTGGTGCTTTATGGTTACATAGGAAATTTTCGACTACCAACACAAAAGTTTTCCATGCTTTACTTTCCGGAACAGTCATAACTTTAATAAAATCTGTGTCTTTCATCAATTGACGTATTTGAGGACCATCAAATATTCCACCTTTCAACCTTTCCAACGCTTTTACAAATTGCTTTATCATTCCAGCTTAATATGTAATGGTGGAAGTATGATTTTGTCTCTGCTCACCAACGGCTCCCTTATTACATTGACTTTACCGACAGTTAAAGAATTTCTTACAGGCCAAACATCTTGTTCCCAATGAAGTTGCTTTGCTCTATTGTCCCACATACAAATGAAGCAAGGGTATTTTGAGTATCCACTTTGTTGACCACATATTCATATTCTTCTTTGAGTTTTGTTGAATGGGCAATTGGAATTGATGCAAATTTATTTGCATTGTACAGTAAGAAGCATTTTAAACTTCTTTTACCACTGTCAATAAAAAGGCGCCACTCAGTAGGTTTGTATTCTTTTAAACCCATGTCTAGAAGCAGCTTCGCGATATCATTACAGTCACATTTTCACTAAAAAATTGTAATAACTCACTTTCTCGCGTTCTGTATGTTGTAATTGTTACTGTTGGCGCCAATAAATTTTTTTTTCAATCTTTTTTCAATCAAGGCTAACAGTTTTGATCCTTGTTTTGATAAATTGAGATCACGTATTAAATCACTGAGTTCATTTTGAGATTCCCGATTTCTGTGAATTTGGCAACATCATTTTTTCTGAGGGCATGCTAATTACTTTTGAAACGTAAATAGGCCGAGGGTGATTTTCATTGTGTAGAACAGGACATTTTGTAGACTGTAAGTCTGTATCAATCAAAAGTAACAATCATCGAAATGATTCTTAGGCTCCATCCAGATCATAGGAATACCAAAGTCTAATCCAGAACGTTCTCTTTTGTTCCACAACCGTAAAAACTCAACACAGGACTTACAAACGTTATGAGGAAGCTATGATTTATCCAGTTTGTCCATTTTAATATTCAGCATAAGTCTCCGCGACAAAGTCTGTGATATTTCTTTTTTGTTATATAACCGCAAAATAAATCAGTACTATATTTACACTTTCTTCGTGACGAACTCATGTTTTAAAAGACAAGACAAATATCTTAGAATAGACATTCAGTAATTGAAACAAAATATTAACACATGACACTTATCCAGATTCACGTGTAAGTACTTCAATATTGTCAAATAACTGAGATCTCAGCTGTTCTGCGAAGAAGGGGTCTGAGAGTGGGGATCACGTGATGTTTGTATGCGCGAAAATGGTGCGCAGAAGCCTAATCATGACTGGGAAAATAAATTTTATTACTAACAAGCCGATAATTGTTCAAAATATAAGTGTTGTAATGAATATATTCGAATATATATTATTAAGTACATGCGGTCGAATAGCTTTTGTTGGAGCAGGATTACCTATTTCTCGAAGTCTTCTGAAAGAGTCGCTAAAAACTGAATAATATGGCAAATGACGCTGTGGAGATCTTTCTTGATATTCTCGTACTGATTGTCGAGCATTTCCATTGCAAAAACTATACACGAAAATTATATCAGCATTTTGAGTTTTTTCTTGTATGTAATAATTAAACCTTAGTGTTATAATTTCGTAAATTATTGAAATTGGACATTAATATTAACATTTTTCAAAATTTTGATGGTTTAGATGGATTTATATAAAGGAAAGTTTTTAGATCGATATATCAATGTTTGAAATATTTGGTAGTCGAAGAAAAGAATTATTTTTGGTCAATATTTGTAAAAGGCTGAGCTTGTTACTACTGGCATTATATTTATTCCGGTGTAAGTCGCTGCAGTGCCCAGTAAATATGTCTACTGCACGAATAGGATTTCAAGAACTTATTATACGCAACATCCTGGCCCAATTGATCGTATCTAGGGAATAGCTTACCTTCACGCAGAGTCACCATAAAATAGGACTCCTTGCTTGGGTTACTGCTTCCCATTGCGTTGACAGCGGACACGCGGAAGCTGTAGACGGTGTAAGGATGAAGTCCGGTGACGTTGAAGTTGCTTTTGCTGTCGGGCGTCAGTATCCCTTCGTCGTTCCATTCGCCGTCTTCGCCGACCCTGAAAGATCAATAACAGACGTCTTAATGTCGGACTCTACGGTCAACAATGTGGGTGGGGAAAGAAAACAATGGTGGAAATAATTTTCCCATTATCTGAAATTAATTGGCGCACAGTATCGATGTGCGAAAAAATTCCCAGTCATAAATTTCGAAATAATATCGCGACCAGGCGCTGCGAAAACGTTTAAAACGCGATATAATATTTATGTAGGCTGCAGTGCCTGCGAATGTACGAATTGTATGAAATGCTTGACACATATTTGATACAATACTTCATTGACATTGTGATCGAAAATGTTTCCCCATAGCACGATCTATTCCATTGAAATTTCCAGGTCGCCAAATGTTTTAATAAAATCTTGCATTCTCTAGGGCAATCATTGGAAAATACATTTTTCATAGATTTTTATTTAAATTTTGATCAAACTATTTGTTAAATTAATGAAAGTTTTGTATAGACTCGTACAAAACAGCTAATTCTGTACGTAGTCGATCGAACGAGCGTAATGAGCATAATTGACAATTATTCCCATTATTGCGAAGCCATCGGAACAAATCTACACGCATTTGACCACGTACGGCAGCTCGCGCATTCATTACATGTTATTACGTCAATTTTTCCTTTATGTATACACCGCACAATGACTCCAATTTATCGCAAACGCCGCTTTGTATGCCGAGCACATTATATTCGTTATTTTATGATTCTAGACTCCAGGGAATTAGAGGTATTATTTAAGGGCGATACTTTCTGTAAACACATATTTCATCAATCCTCTGTGTTATTGTAAAAATAGTCTCCTTATGAGTGTGCTTTTATTACGAACGATTCAATTTCCGGTAAATTTCCCCAAATTTATTTTTATTGCAACGATAAAGCTGAAATTATACTAATGAAGTATTTAATAATAAATTATTTAATATACAGGGTGTTTCATTTAAAATAACATGCTTATATCTCAAAAACAAAAACTCGAATCGAAACTAAAAGCGATGGGGAGATACTTTTTATACATAAAACCTTAGTAATGAGCCATAAAAACTAAATCCATAACAAGATTGAACCCAATTATTACCATTTTTTATTTATAAGCTCTAAATTGATTAAACATCAAACTTGTTGATTTTCTAAAATTAACTCAATTATAACTCAAAAACTAAAAGCGATGGGAAATACTTTTTATACATAAAACCTTAGTAATGGGCCATAAAGATTGGATCCATAACAAGATTGAACCCAATTATTACCATTTTTTATTTATAAGCTCTAAATCGATTAAACATCAAAATTGTTGATTTTCGAAAATTAACTCAATCATAACTCAAAAACTAAAAGCGATGGGGAAATACTTTTTATACATAAAACCTTAGTAATGGGCCATAAAGACTAGATCCATAACAAGATTGAACCCAATTATTACCATTTTTTATTTATAAGCTCTAAATCGATTAAACATCAAAATTGTTGATTTTCGAAAATTAACTCAATCATAACTCAAAAACTAAAAGCGATGGGGAAATACTTTTTATACATAAAACCTTAGTAATGGGCCATAAAGACTAGATCCATAACAAGATTGAACCCAATTATTACCATTTTTTATTTATAAGCTCTAAATCGATTAAACATCAAAATTGTTGATTTTCGAAAATTAACTCAATCATAACTCAAAAACTAAAAGCGATGGGGAAATACTTTTTATACATAAAACCTTAGTAATGGGCCATAAAGACTAGATCCATAACAAGATTGAACCCAATTATTACCATTTTTTATTTATAAGCTCTAAATCGATTAAACATCAAAATTGTTGATTTTCGAAAATTAACTCAATCATAACTCAAAAACTAAAAGCGATGGGGAAATACTTTTTATACATAAAACCTTAGTAATGGGCCATAAAGACTAAATCCATAACAAGATTGAACCCAATTACTACCATTTTTTATTTATAAGCTCTAAATCGATTAAACATCAAAATTGTTGATTTTCGAAAATTAACTCAATTATAACTCAAAAACTAAAAGCGATGGGGAGATACTTTTTATACATAAAACCGTAGTAATGGGCCATAAAGACAAAATCCATAACAAGATTGAACTCAATTATTACCATTTTTTGTTTATAACCTCTAATCAGTGGTGGCCATAACGTCAATTGCCAAAATAATCATGACTCTGAAATAATTATATCTGGGCCTCAGAGCAAGAAAAAAGGAAGGTTACTTTAAACCCTTCGGTCGATCTTGGCAAGACATTTATATAAAAAGTCGATCTTGATCAAAAATTAGTGGACAACACTGCTCTACACCAACAATTACATGGCGGTGATTTCGAAAATCGTGTGCAATTTTGTATTTGGGCTATGGAAAAATTCAGATTGAATGACAATTTTTTCTTCAATGTACTATTTTCCGACGAATCCTCTTTCACCAATCACGGCCAAGTAAATCATCATAATATGCACTACTGGTCACATGAAAATCCTCGTTGGCTAAGACAAGTTGATCATCATAAACCTTGGTCAGTTAATGTCTGGTGCGGCATTGTTGGCAATAAAATAATTGGACCTTTTTTTATTGATGGCAATTTGAATGGCAGAAAGTATCGGAATTTTTTGTTGAAAGATTTACCGGTTTTGTTGGAAGACCTTACTCTGGAGTGAAGACTTGCGCTATGGTATCAGCATGATGGATGTTCATCTCATTATGCTCTAGCCGCAAGAGAAGTTTTAGACGAAATGTTTTCTGAAAAATGGATAGGACGTAATGGACTGGTGAATTGGCCAGCTAGATCACCAGACTTAACTTCTCCCGATTTCTTTCTTTGGAGTTACCTCAAAGAGAAAGATTACAACCAGGTTCCAACAACACCAAACGATATGAAAAACCGTATCAGAGCAGCTTGCGAATCAATAACTGAAGAAATGCTTGGCAATGTGCAGAGAACGTTTTCAATGAGAATTCAAAAATGTTTAGAAATGAATGGTCCCTTGGTCCTTTAGGCAATCACAAAAAAAATCTTTCGACCCGGTATAAAGTGCGTGTTTTAGAATTTTAACAAATAATCCAAAAAGTTATTACATTGACGTGAAAATGTTATAACAACGGTGTATCAGAAGTTTTCAGAGTTTCTGGATTATATTAACAAATGAAACCTTAATTCGCTGTGTGCTGGGGTTGATTTAAAGCTGAGAATTACACTGGGGGGTTGTCGGTGGCTCGAGATGAAACAAAAGACATTAAAAAAAACGAAAAGCGCCAGCGGACGTTAAGTAAAACTTAACGGGCAGTGACATATTTATGGCGGTGGCGTAAACGATACACCCTCGCAGTGAAATATGTACTGCGTAAGTAACAATGACAATGCACCAACGTAAATTCGTTAAATTCATTTTTCCTCGACGTTTCTTAACAGTTTTTGTGTTAATTCAACTGCAAGATGATATTTCAATTTTTAAAGAACAATTTTATTACTGATATAATCGATTATAAACGATTTCTGCTGGAGACAAGTTACTTTTTTAATTGACTCGATAATCTTGAAAGCAGATGATGTTTCATTTTCTGTTAACAGGTGTTTGTTGCGATAGGATGAGCTCAAAGCGATCGATTTTTGTGTTCGGGTTTACCGGAATCGATACTCCTCAGAGCTGTAGTAATTGGTTTAACTAACGCCCTCTGAGGGAGACATGACGCCAGATCGAGGAATAGCTGATACACAATCCACAAAAGAGCCCTGGGCTGTACACACAAGGCGAAGGGTGATTGAAATCTTGGCCCGAAGGACTCTTCGGAGTTGATTGAACTGTAAGATACCTAAAAAAGGAAACCGCGCATCCTTCCAAAACATGTTAATGCATCTTTATTGTAGGGGGTTGCGTGGTGACATTGTTTTCTTCTTTTTTAACCCCGAAGTGCGACGATAAATAACCTAGATGCGGCATCCCGCTGAGATAAAATTTATGCTCGCAAAGAGGGGCAAAAAGGCCCACGAAATAGGAAGGATTTAGCGCGAGAAATGTCGTATGCGTGCACCCCTGCTACCCTCTACTTATCGCGGGACAAGAAACGGTATTACTTTTTAATTCTTTGTCGCAATTACCGTTAACCTCAATGATTTTCTTTGTTATTTATACACCGCAACACGCGATACCAGGAATTTAACTCAACTTTCAATCGGATTACTAATAAAAAGATCTTTATTTCAAAAAAATCTTTATTTAAATACAACCATACATTTGAATTTATTTTTATAACATTATCGTGATCAAAGATATATTGTAGCTTAGAATCAAAAGCGGTCATATTCGCAATTTGTTATTTTCGGTTTTATTATTATTTCTCATTTGTGTCAAAACAGACCATATCCCATGGAAATTGTAGCCTAAATTTTGATCTGAGTTGCAAAATCGGCCAAATCCACTACGCATGCGTTAAAGCATTTATGATCATATATTTGGCAGCGTTGGATGAATTTTTGTTCATTCCGGTTATTACATTATTAATATGGAAATTAACATTGAAGAAGAAACTGATAAACCACGGAAACGCCAAATACGATCAGCATTTATTTTATTATTTATTTACTTATAACTCCGAGCTAGGGGTTTACAGATGTGACAAAAAAGTGTACATCTCACTTATCTCGGAGGCGATGGATACTATAAACATAGATAACTTTGATGGGGTGAAAGCTTTGCATACTCATATTTCCTTGATTAATCGCCACATCATAAGATCATATGAGGAATCTTGTCCATTAAGAAGGGGGCCGGACAAGTGCTACACCAATTCGTGGTGGAATACTGAGCTAGTACACCTCAAAAGTAGAAAAGAGAAAAGAAGAAGACTGGAACGTTTATAAACTACACCGGTTCAATTATAAAAAAACATTAAGACAGAGGAAGAGATTAGCTTGGCAAAAATTCTGTGAAGATATTGAGAACACACTCCTATAGAAAGTATACCTTTACTAATAACCTCTCATTTTTCAGGG